CTGAAGCAGCCTCTGTCCATGGCAAGCCACACAGTGCTGGAGCAGTTACCTCCTCATGTGGGCGAGGAGCTGACCTAGCCCCCGCTGGTTAACCGGAACCAGTAAGCATCGCCCATTAAGGTTAATCTTTCACATCTCTAGTTGTAACGGGTAATTAACACACCTATAAATTCTAACCATGCTGTAAAACCATACTAAAAATATGTGTGTGAAAACAGTTCTTTAATGGATGTCTGTCGTGCTGCTGCAATTGCATTGCCTCATAGTTTGTTGATATGCTCTAGAGCAGCCAAAATTAAAACATAGTATACAAAAGGGGCATTGTTGGAAAAATGTGTAATTTCATGATGCACTGCACTAAGTAAAGCTACTATGATTGCTCTCTTTACCAGTGTACATCTTTTTATCAATTTGCAAGGTGATTATTTTTAAAAACCTTATGGTCAATGTTTCAAGTAATTGTTTACTTGAATTATTCTAATTGTTATAGAGATTTATGTGCTTTTAGGAATGCACAGATGAAATATTTTGCATAAGATGTATAAAACTGTTTCTCAAAACTGAGTTGAGACTGCTGATAGGAAACCAACTTGGGCTTCAAGAATTCTTTTTAGTGAGCTAGGCAAGAATCTAGATGAACAATAAACTTTCAGAAATAATGGCTTTTTAAAAAGGCAATTTGGAAACAATTTTTAAAATTGTTTTTTTTTTTAATGTTTTGGTAACAGTTTACATTTAAGAAAGAGGAAATATGCAAGGTAGCTTGTACAAAATCATATGACCCAACAAACAGTATCGACAAAAGTAAACTGACTTTTTTGAAGAAAGGAATGCAATTGAATTATCAACATCACTGGTGAGTTAAGACGTACTCTACTTTGAACAGCAAACTGAAAATTAACTTAATGAGTTGTTTTCAGAGGTCACACTTCTAATCTTTCTTCTATCTAGTAATGGTCTTATAACATATTATTCTTTGAGACCTAACTGAAACCCCTTGGCTTTTTACCTGAACATTAATTATAACTTAAAAATAGTAAAAAATGCTAATTATTCCATTAAGGAGCTGCCTGTTTAACATTTCTTTGCCAGGATTATTGATAATATGCCTGTAACATGGTGTTATGAAGTGGAAGCGGAACACAAATACTGTAATCCAGGATTTCCAATAGGATGTTTTATTACTACAGATGGCAGAGTTAAAGATGCTTGCATTATCGATGTAAGTAGTAAGAGTTTTTTTTTCCTTATATGCCCTGACATGGGTCCAGCTACAAAGCTGTACTGTTGGGGTCATGTCCTCATTACTCTTTTGTTATGTTTTAATAATGGAATTGTGTGCTTAGTGTGTAAAAACAGACTTGATATAAAAAACACAAATATAGTTAAATAAAATTTACTGTACATGCATTTGCAAAGATGAGTACCTACTTATATGATTGCTGCAGTGTGTAATAAATATCGTAATTAATTATGCAAAACTTAATATGTAACTAACTGGCCTACCATGGGCTTACCTTTCTTAAGTCTTCCTTTTGCTTCCCCTTAGAAGTCATTCTTCTGCGGGGAAGCAAAGCAGTTTGTGGACAACTTGAATTCTGTGCCCATGCATTGATGCGGAATTCCTCCAGGAATACAGTAACTTGTAGGGGAATACAGTAAACTTGATGTCACACTAACATTGTTATAACAGGGCTCATACAACAATATTTTATGGAATATATTAGTACAGTAATAGGTCTAATTATTGGCTGGCAATTGTATTTTGACTGCGTCAAAGAGAGGTTGAAAACTTCACACAGCAGCAAATGGGAATTTTTTCCTTCTTTTCTTCTGTTGAGCAAATGATTTTGGTGTAGTCCATGTCTGGAACATCTGGAGGAAGTTTCCTGTTATCCTGCATCCTCTGAGGATGGCAAAGATGTGTTGGTGGGGTATGGACCCCCAGGATTTGGCCAAGTCGAGTCATGCTACGATGCACTGCCTCTGTGCTTGTAGTAGCTTTCACTGAACATGAAGCCCTTCTGCACCGAGTGGATAGATCCTTTACGCACCAACCAGATCCTTGCTGTGAGGCAGCTGGCATATAGCTTATAGATTGTAGAGCACTGCAAATGGGACTCCAGCTGCTGGGGTCATTTTGCTTACCTTTTTAGTGGATGAGCACCATCATGGACTTCTTCCAGGAGCCAGGACTATGGCAGACCTGCTTGCACTTATTGACCATAGCAGCAAGCACAGGCAACTGTGGTCTCATTCCTTCAGAAGATGGTAATGGTTGCCGACTTTTCTGAGCACAGTGTTATTGTTCCTCGTCATCAAGTTTGCAGATGACACTAAGCTAGGGGGAGAGGTAGGTACGCTTGAGAGCAGAGATAGGGTCTAGAGTGACTTAGACAAATTGGAGGATTGGGCCACAAGAAATCTGATGAGGTTCAACAAGGACAAGTGCAGAGTCCTGCACTTGGGACAGAAGAATCCCAAGCATTGTTACAGGCTGGGGACCAACCAGCTAAGTAGTAGTTCTGCAGAAAAGGACCTGTGGGTTACAGTGGAAGAGAAGCTGGATATGAGTCAACAGTGTGCCCTTGTAGCCAAGAAGGCTAATGGCATATTAGGGTGCATTGGGAGGAGCATTGCCAGCAGATCCAGAGATGTCATCATTCCCCTTTGTTCGGCTCTGGAGTATTGTGTCCAGTTCTGGGCCCCCCACTACAAAAAGGATGCGGAAGCATTGGAGAGGGTCCAGCGGAGGGCAACCAAAATGATTAGGGGGCTGGAGCATATGACCTATGAGGAGAGGCTGAGGGAGTTGAGTCTATTTAGTCTGCAGAAGCGAAGAGTGAGGAGGGATTTGATAGCAGCCTTCAACTTCCTGAAGGGAGCTTCCAAAGAGGATGAAGAGAGGCTGTTCTCAGTAGTGACAGATGGCAGAACAAGGAGCAGTGGTCTCAAGTTGTGGTGTGAGAGGTCCAGGTTGGATATTAGGAAAAATTATTTCATTAGAAGAGTGGTGAAGCGCTGGAATGGGTTAGCTAGGGAAGTAGTGGAGTTTCCATCCCTAGAAGTGTTTAAGTCTCGGCTTGACAAAGCCCTGGCTGGGTTGATTTAGTTGGGATTGGTCCTGCCTAGAGCAGAGGGCTGGATTTGATGACCTTCTGTGGTCTCCTCCAGCTCTATGGTTCTATGATTCTATCTCCTGTGTGATGAACCAGAGGTTCAAAAGACTGTCTAGGGGTGGCTTTTTGTGGCAAGGGACTGGGGCTGCGAAGGAGGAAAGCCTGAGACTTAAATGTACTTAACCAATTACAAACTTTGACTACAATCTGATTATATTATGTCTTTGATTTAAGACAACGTAGCATGCAAATAAAACATACATTAAAGATATTTTGCCTATTCATTTAACAACCCCTCAATTCTACTCCAAGGGTATGTCTACACTACAGCGCTAATTTGAACTAACTTAGTTCGAATTAGTTAACGCGTCTAGAACTAAAAACTAGTTCGAATTAGCGTTTTGTCAATTAAGTGGACCCTGAACAGGGCTTAAGGATGGCCGGAAGTAGTGCCGGCAGGGCATCAGAGGAGGACTTAGAGCTGGGAGATGCTGTCTCAGGCTAGCCGAGGGCTGTGCTTAAAGGGTCCCGACCCCCACCCTGGACAGACAGTTCTCAGGGATGGCCGGAAGTAGTGCCGGCAGGGCATCAGAGGAGGACTTAGAGCGTGGAGATGCTGTCTCAGGCTAGCCAAGGGCTGTGCTTAAAGGGACCCGACCCCCACCCCGGACAGACAGTTCTCAGGGGTGCCCCGCTTGAAAACCAGTCCTGGCTTGGAGTGCCCGGAGTGCCCACACTGGGCACATCACAGCACTCGGCCATCAGACCGGCTGCACTTGCCGCAGGCTGCCATTTGGGGAGACGG